GAAGTTTTTTTGGTTTGCTATTGGTTTGTCATGTTCATGTTGGATTTGGTAAATTTTTTGCAGAAAATGATTTTTCAAAAAATCGATAATAGGTTCAATGAAGAGCCTAAAATTAGCCTTAGATTATGGTGCACTCAATATTCTTATATTCCTTCTATTTGAGATTTGGTTCTGCTAGCTTAACGGTTAAGCTAGCAAAACCCATGATTGTTTTGAAAAAACAGTGCGCGAAAAAATTCGCAATAGGCTAGGATCAGAGCCTCAAATTAGCCTGAAATTATGGCATAATTAGGTTTGTGATTGAAGTTTTTTTGGTTTGCTATTGGTTTGTCATGTTCATGTTGGATTTGGTAAATTTTTTGCAGAAAATGATTTTTCAAAAAATCGATAATAGGTTCAACGAAGAGCCTAAAATTAGCCTTAAATTATGGTGCACTCAATATTCTTATATTCCTTCTATTTGAGATTTGGTTCTGCTAGCTTAACGGTTAAGCTAGCAAAACCCATTATTGTTTTAAAAAACAATGTGCGAAAAAATTGGCAATAGGCTAGGATCAGAGCCTAAAATTAGCCCTAAATTATGGCATGATTAGTTTTGTGATTGAACTTTGTTTGGTTTGCTATTGGTTTGTCATGTTCACATGTTAGCTTAATGGTTAAGCTAGCGAAACCCATGATTTTTTTTTAAATCAGTGTGCGAAAAAATTGGCAATATGCTAGGATCAGAGCCTTAAATTAGTCTGAAATTATGGCATAATCAGGTTTGTGATTGAAGTTTTTTTTTGGTTTGCTACTGGTTTGTCATGTTCATGTTGGATTTGGGAAATTTTTTGCAGAAAATGATTTTCAAAAAAATTGATAATAGGTTCAACGAAGAGCCTAAAATTAGCCTTAAATTATGGTGTACTCAATATTTTTATATTCCTTCTATTTGAGATTTGGTTTTGCTAGCTTAACGGTTAAGCTAGCAAAACCCATGATTTTTTTAAAAAAACAATGTGCGAAAAAATTGGCAATAGGCTAGGATTGGAGCCTAAAATTAGCCTTAAATTATGGCATAATTAGTTTTGTGATTGAACTTTTATTTACGAAGTGGTTCTGCTAGCTTAACGTTAAGCTAGCAGAACCCACGTTTTTTTACATAAATCGAAGAGCAATAAATTCGGCAATAGGGTAATAAATTAGCCTTGAATTAGCCTAAAATTATGGCCGAAGAAAAAATTGAAAAATTCAAAGTGGTTCTGCTAGCTTAATGGAGGTAGAATGTTCCTACTTGATTGATATTTGATTCTGGGTCATTCTATCAAATATTAGATGTTACAAGAGCTGTTACAACAATAAACTCCACAAAAACTATAGATTCCCATTACTGTCTGATTTTTTAATGGGACTTCATAAATGCAATCAATTCTTTTGAGTTTATATTCCAACCATATTACTCAAAATCTTGATAATCAATTACTTCAAATTGTCATAATTTTTCAAACTACAAAATAAACATCCATAGTAGATTGTTTTATGAGGATCAAAAGTGATACTTTGTTCTACAAGTGAAATTTGCCTTTGCAAGCTGAGCAAAAGCAAAATCAAAATTTGTGAACAAAGTCACTTTTGATTCAAATGAGACATGGAGTTTTTTCTGCAACCAAAAGATTCAACACCCAACAAAAATGGATATAACTGAATTACCAACTAATATGAATAACTTGACAGATTCTTATGATGGTGATTCAACAATACCTCTGATACCCACTGATGAACCGGAAATATTAAACATAATCGGTACACTGAAAAAAAGTCCTGATCCAGATGGTTTGATCACATGAGATGTAATAGAATTGAAAAATATTTTGGTTGAACCATTAACACAATTAATCAATAAATCATTTTCAACAGGTATTTTTCCACATGAATTGAAACACACCTCTTTAAGGGCAATATACAGGGTGTTTCGAAATTCGACCGACAACGCTTAACAGGTGATAGCCCTCGTGATTTCATAATCACTGAGATAGGGAAATACGGTCTTCAAGTGTTCAGTTCTCGAGATACAGGGCGTTAAAGTTAAGAAATAAAAATAGTTGTTTCGCAATATCTCAAGAATTATTGAATATAATGCATTCAACTTCGGTATATGGTTTCATCTTTGAATAAGTCATTTTTTGACCAGGAAGCCATCCCGGACATATTATCCAGTGGTATCCTACAGGGGGTTGTGGCAACTTTTCCTCCCATATTTTCTACGCCACTGATTAAATTTCGATTATTTCCAATTCCTCGAACTCATTGTTCAATTTTGTTCAGAAAATGCATCACCTTCAACTGAGCTGAAATGAACAGTTTTCGAGATATTCGACCCTAAATAGAAGATTGCATAGTAATATTTCATCATTTTCAGTAGTAGAAAATTGCAAAAATATTTTTCTGGTATTGAGTAGATTATATACTATATTCAGATCTCATTCTATAGCTGAACAGAAATAGTTATTCCACGTATAAAGAGAAAGCAAGAATTTTTTTAATTTTCTACTACTGAGGACGATGAAAAATTACTATGCAAACTTCTATTTTGGGTCAAATATCTCGATAACTGTTCATTTTATCTCAGTTGAAGGTAATGCATTTTTTCAACATAATTGAACAATAAATTCGAGAAATTGTAAATAATTGAAATTTCATCAGTGGCGTAGAAAATATGGAAGGAAAATTTATCATAACCCTCTGTAGCGCACCTCTGGATGATATTCTCGGAATGTCTTTCTGGTCAATAAATTAACCATTGAAAGATGAAACCATATACCGAATTTAAATGCATCATATTCAATTTTTCTTGAGATATTGCGAAAAAACTATTTTTATTTCTCAACTTTAACGCCCTGTATCTCGAGAACTGAACACTTGTAGACCGTATGTCCCTATCTCAGTGATTATGAAATCACGAGGGCTATCACTTGACAAGCGTTGTCGGTCAAATTTCGAAACACCCTGTATAAAAGGGGTGAGGCTCAAAATCCGGTAAATTACAGCTTTGTTGAGTAATTTTTTCAAAATACTTGGGAAAGTTATAAAAAAGAGAATTGTTGACTTCATCAATAAAAAATATGGGTTTGACTTGAATCAATTTGGTTTTCAAGAGAAAAGTGGTACACAGTCATTACAAGTAATCAATTTCATACAAGGCAGCCTTGGCAAAGAAAATTATGTAGTAGCTATTTTTATGGACCTGAAAAATGCATTTGATACAGTTGACCACAATATTCTCCTGGAAAACCTTAATTCAATGGGCATCAGAGGTATTGGAAACAATCTCTTGAAAACATATCTTGAAAAAAGGACTATCAGTCCTAAAATCAATAATTGTGAATCTAAAATACTATATATACAAAGGAATTTCCCATGGATCAGTGTTGGGCCCAATTCTGTATCTGTTATACATTCAGAAAATTTCAAAAAACAATTTGAAAGGAAACTAAATGAGGATTTGAAGAAAAAGAATGACTTTACTCCAATCTTCTTTCTATTAATTCCAAAAAGACACAATACATACACAAGATATTGATTTGAATATTAGAATAAAAAATGATAGATTGAAACAAACTGCCTATACCAAATACCTTGGCATTTGGATATAAACAAAGGCGTTCCCCAAGGATCAGTGTTGGGCCCAATTCTGTATCTTTTATTCATTCAAAACATTTCAAAAATCAATTGGATAGGAAACTATGCCATATATGCAGATGACACAGTACTTTTATTTGAAAATAAAACAACATACATGACAATCTTCTTTCTCTTAATTCACAATATATATCTTTTCATCAAAGAAATAAACAAAATATTGATTTGAATATTGGAATAAAAAATGAAAGATTGAAACAAACTGCCTATACAAAATACCTTGGTATTTGGATTGATGAAAAGTCAACATGGGACAAGCATATTGGCATGCTCAAAAGAAAAATTTTTTCCCATAGTTGGTGACCTAAGAAGAAGTCCAAAACTTATCCCAAATATAACAAACACCGTCCTATACTCTCACATCCTTGATAAAATGAACCATCTCATTTATATTTGGGGTTCATGTTCCATGAATAATTTTAACAAAATAATGACCCTATCAAATCAACTTTATGAAGACAAATACATTTTCCTTGAAAGAGCACTACCTGATCAATACTCTCAAAACTTCTTTTGATATTATCAACAAACACCTCAAATCTAACTTCATATTGGTAAGGAATTCTCAAATCCATAATTATCATACTAGACAATTTGACTTGTTTCATGTTGATGCTGCTAAAATTCTACACTTGGCCAAAAAAAGTTTACTCACGGAGCTCTCTCATAATTCAATAAATTACCTCATGGTATCAAAAGTTGCACAAATATCACCCAATTCAAAATTAAAGTCAAGAAACATATCCTCTTGCAAAGAGAAAATCAAACCTGAATGAATGATTTCTCATTCAATAATTTATTTCATCATGTCATAATGTACTTTTTATGAGATTTTTGATTTTTCTTAGTTTATACATTTTTGAGATACTGAAATTTGTAAAACAAAATATGTCTGACTTTGTGTATCAAAATGCTACTCATACATATCCAACACCATATGGGTATAATTTACAATATGATATCCATAGATTAGAATTGTACAAGTCAAATCCTTATTATATGGGCACAGTCTTATATACCGAATTGAACAATGAAATAAAAACCATGGCTAGTTTGAAAAAGTTTATGTCAGCTATCAGATCGATATTGCTAGCAAATGCCTTTTATTCCGTTGAAGAGTACCTTCAGTACTCTTTTCAGGATCCGTAAATGATTTGTGTGAATGGTGATGAGCGCATTTGTTTAAAAAAATTGTTAAAAACTTTTATGACTTTTCCTATATCATAACTGTATGATCTTATTGGATAAATAAAGGTATTCTATCCTATTTTATATTTTGGTGCCCACCAATGAATGATCACTTCAAGAAATATCTCTCTTAGGTTGAAAGTTTTGGAACATCCCAGCGACAACTTTCTGGAACTCTCCGATCGCAGATTATTCAAACTATCGGCTGCGGACGTGCTGCTGAAGAAGAAAGATTGGATAAGAAAACTGTCCCTTATGTACAGGGCGGACGTATCGAAGATGAGGTACGTCTAGGGTTAAGAAAATTTCACTCCTAAATTGAAGGGCTTATTGTAAAACAATGACATGCCTCAGAAAGGTGAACATGAGATATTTGACTTTGAATATTTAAAATAATATACAAAATCTAGTAACAACTTGAATGGTTTCAGTTTTATATAGGTCAATGCTCCATGCCCTATGCGACTATAGTCAACAAGAATATTAATAAAATAACTTCAAACTTGAGATAAAACAGGCTTCATTTGAAAAACATGTGGCTTGTTACATTATCCCATTTAGAATGATCAACCAAAATCTTACACATTGTTGCCCTGAATTTCGTCGAAATTTTCTATTCGATCCCAAATAACACTATCAACTTCTTTGTCTCCATCGACTTGTTGAAATGTTTTCGGATGTGTTTGGTTTTATCTCTTTTCTTATTCATTCACCTTCAACAGAAAGCAATAATATAACAAGCCACGTGACATGCCACTACAATAATACTTTATTATGCTTCATTTCAGGAATGATAATAATGTGACAAGCCACATTTGGGAAAAAAATACATACTGCTATATTTTCATCACTTAAGTGACTTCTAGATTGTTCAAAGATAGTGTCATGGTCACTGTCATTGAATGTCGGCTCAACTTCACTGTTTTTCTTGCTAGAATCGTCAGAATTCACAGCATTATCGGAACAGCTTTCGCTCGTGTCGGCCATTTTGTGTGGCTTGTCATTATGTCGGGTAGTCAATAGAGAAAAAAATGGACCCATGCAATAGTGTGACCAAAGTTTTTTCGCGCCATTCATTAACCAATGCCCGTAATAATTTTGTAAAGGCTTGTTATACCATTGCATTCAATCGGGAAGAGCATCAACTCATTTTGGACTCTTGTGTGGCTTGTCATTGTTTCACAATAAGCATTTTTATTTCAATATCAAAACTGACATTTCATAAATTTCAAAACTTTCATAGAATTTTCAGAAATGTTCAATGGAAAAAGGAGTTTATAAAATTCTAAGCAGTAATGAAGCTAGTGCAACGATTATTACCTACTTTGATATAATTCGTGATGATGTCATCAAAAATATGAAGAGGCGCATCTGAAAATGGCAATCGACGTGTCTGACCTTTTTCTTCAATAGATATATTGATTGATTGATTGATTGATTGATTGATTGTGTTTATTACCACAAGGAACATATCTGTTTATAACAGAGATACATGAACACCATATAAAAACATAATATTAAGAGGTTGACTAATGAATTCCACTCAGTGGAGACAAATTCATACTCTTTCTTAAGATGAAAGTTATACCATTTCAATTCTGAGTAATCGAATCATTCCAAATATTTTTCAATCCAAATATCCTGACCAGGTATTGTTTAAGATTGACTTTAAATCTTCTTACTTCGTTGTATTTTTATTTTCTTTGGTAATGAATTGTATAAAAGTATTCTGTTAAGAAATATATATGGTTTGCCAATGTTCGACTTGAATGTATTTGCTATCAAGTAATTCAATTACAAAACTCGTCCGCCATATTGGATCTGCCATTTTGAATTCTCATGTTTTGACGAAAGAATCATAATATCCGACTCCGAAAACCCCCATATTCCAATTCTGAATAGAATCTGATCATATTTTAAAAAACTCGTCCGCCATATTGAATTTCCTAGTTTTGACGAAGGAATCATACTCTCCGACCACGAAAACCCCCAGATACCAATTTTGAATAGAATCGGACCATAATCACAAAACTCGTCTTCCATATTGGATCCGCCATCATGAAAATCAATATTTTGACGGAAGAATCATAATCTCCGACTCCGAAAACTCTCAGATACCAATTTTGAATGAAATCGGATTATTAAACTCGTCCGCCATATTGGATCCGCCATCTTGAATTCTCAATTTGAAAAATAGTATACGACCGATTCTCAGACCTACCGAATATGCACAAATATTTGCATAAGAATCGGCCGAGCCGTTTTGGAGGAGTTTGGCAACAAACATCGTGACAGGGACAGGAGAATTTCACATATTAGATATTTTAAATTATTAAACTAAACACTAATAACATAAAACTTCTTGTGTTGCATCCTTTAGATATATTATATCAAAATCCACTCTTGGTCTCTAGAATCAATCAGACTCGGCAATTTTCACGGTTTCTTCTGTATTACAGTGATATTTTTTTGTTCACTAAATTTTATCGGACTTGCTCTACCAATACAGATGCCAAGTCGACCCACACCCCACACGTGACCAACCTACCTCGTTTCTCAGCGATAAAATTGACGTTTAAAACGTCAATTATGTTGGAAGCCAGAATGATGGATGCAGTGTGCGCAACTCTCGCAAGCTGCTCGTTTATCGTCTCAATCATGGAATATTCATGCGAATACAACACGTGATACTATTTTTCCTGGATATATTCGTCGATTGACATACTCCAGCTTGCTGCTTTAATTTCGCTCATCACATTGTTCCAAAATAATGTCATTCGGCGAAATTATTAGGCAACAAGCTGTCGTAACAATCGCCGAATATTTCCGGCAACATATTATCACTTGTGGTATTACATATCGTCGACTTACTGTCAAAACCTCGTAAGTCTTTCAGAGCTAATTGTTCAGGTGAGGAAAAAACGTTTTCCACTAGGTACTTCGAACGATTCAATTTCTGTTTTTTAAGGTTATTCCTCATTTGTATAGGTACCTGCTTGATGAATGAAATCAATATTCTGAGAAGATTTATATTCTCAATGTTCAAATGAACGACATTCGAAGTATTTACAAAAATAAATTGAACATTATTCAGACTGAATTGGTTTTGATCAATTACTAGTGAAAATTGTCATTTAGTTTGGCATTGCTTCACATGTAGCAAACCAGCGGCAGTTTTGATAACAATGAGAAATATGGGTTCAACAAAAATGAACCGAAATATTTCAATCAATGTCTTCATTTGGAATGAACAGAATAAAATTATACAAATATCCATGACATCTTCTCGAAAGCTCTTAAGTCCTCTACTAGATAGATAACATACGGATCAGAACCTCGTAAGTCTGTTCGCATGAAGAATCAAAACCAGATTGTCCTTCGCATCACTGCAGAAATATTAGAGAAGATTGACCAAATAGTTCATCATAAACTTACTTTGGTGTCTGACATGGATTTCAGTTCAAATAATGTATCAAACATTGGAGATTTATACTTTCTCAACAAGCACAACTTAACCCTATACTCTCTTGCAGACTTTGAGTTGAAAATCTCTCGGAGTAGAGTTTGGTAGTTTGAATTATATCTAATACACACACTGGCACAATTAGGGGAACGGGTAAAATTTACACTAAGTTTGACATCAATTTTCTCTCGAACCGATCACGCGATTCAAATTTGTTTTTCACGAATTGTAACTTCATTCTTCACGAATACATCTGAGAAATAACCACCTCCAAACGATTCGTCTTTATATCATATACAGGGGTGTAAAGAAAGTACGGATTTTTCGGTATTCTTTAAGACATCATGTGGAGTGAACCACTGATAATTGAAACGATTTTCCAAATTCAAATTGGAGCCCAATCTATTACGAATATTTTCGTTTTTAATTCATCTTGATACCCCAATTATCCAAGAAAATATAGAGTTTCAAAGAAGAGGTGGATATTGGTATTGATTTTACCACCTCGAAACTCGAACTGGGGAGAACGTTTTTCAACTTGTTTCTGTGAGGATTTTTAATTCAGGATGAGAATTGTTCACAGTTTTACCTATCGGTTTACTGTTCAAAGACACATATACGAATACTCTCATGAATATGCAGGGGTGATAAAAGTTGCTCCAATGTTCTTTTGTTGAAATGCTATTTTTGTTAATTAACGTTGGCTATTTTGTTAATGTCATTAATTATTGTCAAAGTCAAGCGATTCACAATTCATAAATTTGATAAAAGAAAATTCAACATGAGAGATTCGACTCCTACTGATGTGGCGAGGGCTGTAGCATTAATTGAAAATGACCAGTGGGCCAATGTCCTTTTAACATATGAGAGCCGCATCTGCACCAATTCAATAAATGGCAGGGAAAGACTATATCGCCGAGGTGAACAAAATGAACTATTTGATTTTACTGCTTCTGTCTCCTATGGCAGAGGTTCAGTCACGGTTAGGTTAGGTTAGTCAAGAAACGACACATTTTCAGATCCAATTTGAGTTTTGAGGTGTAAAATTGATACCAATATCCACCTTTCCTTTGAAACTCTGTATTTTCTTGAATAATTGAGATATCAAGATGAATAAGAAACGATAATATTCGGAATAGATTGGGCTCCAATTTGGTGTTGAGAAATCGTTTCAATTATCAGTGGTTCAATCCACAGGATGTCTAAAAAAATACCGAAAAATCCGTACTTTCTTTACACCCCTGTATATGATGGAAAGACTCATCGTTTGAAGGTAATTATTTCTTAGATTTATTCGTGAAGAATTAAGCTACATTTCGTGAAGAAAAAAATTCGAATCGAGCGATCGGTTCGAAAGAAAATTGATGTCAAACTTAGTGTGAATTTTGCCCGTTCCCCTAATTGTGCCAGTGTGTGTAGATGTCGCTACCAAAAACATAGACTTACGATGATTTGGTGATGGGTGCGCTGAATTTCGTAGATGGTGAAAATGTTCAAACCTAAAATTCCCTAGAATTCGGACGTAGGTGGTTTTGATAGTAAGCCGACGATATGATAAAATTTTGGACGTTTATTACGTCGATTATATTGGAAGCCAGAATGATGGATGCAGTGTGCGCGACTCTCGCAAGCCGCTCGTTTATTGTCTCAATCATGGAATACTCATACGAATACAACTCGTGATATTATTTTTCCTGGAAATATTATCACTTGTGGTATTAAATATGAAAATTCCCACCGCTAGGTACGTCATCTACTCGAACCCGCGCTTACCAAAAGTGCGCAGCGCTTCGCTCGCGTACGCGCCTCTAGAACCGATGCCCGTCGCTCCCGTCAAACCCAAAGAGCAAGAAGAAGAACAGAGAGAAATAGGCGGGGAAGAAGAAGAGGAGGAAGAGGAGTGGTGGACGGAGGAGGCGGAAGAGTCGGACGACGGGAATTCTTCTTCCACGCGGATAGCGTATTCGCCCTCGCCTAGGAAGAGGCACTACCCGCCGAAGCCGAAGGATCTGGTGCCGGGGCATACGTTGCCAGTCGAGGTATTTATACAGGGTGATTCATTAAGAATGGACAAATCTCTGAACTCAGTAAACACAACGCATTTCAGAAACATTACAAAAGTTCCTAATACGTGTCATCTGAAACATTCCAATGTTAACATAAAGGAAACTTTTTGAAGCTCTCCATGCTATGCGAAATATTTCAGCAATATGTCAATACATACGTTCCATATTCGTTATGAAAATTCTCTGCTTGAAATGTCTCACGTGAATCTCTAGACGTGTCATCTGAAACATTCCAATGTTGACATAAACGAAACATTCCTGAAGTTATCCATGTTCTCATGTCCCTATCTCACTTTTTCATGTACTATCAATTGATATTTAATTGAAATCGATACAGGGCGGTTGAAAATCTTGAGTCTGAACACTCTATATCTCTGTCACTGCTAGACCCCAAGGGTTATAGATCATTGAAATCAGCTTTTCAGGGAGAATCTGAAAATGGAATAATATACAGGGTGTCGCATTCAAAAAAAAACAAAGTTGTTGCTACTTATCACTTTGAGCGGCAACGTCGCAGCGCTGAGAATATTTTAGGTCCATAGAGCACAACTGATTATCCAAGGCACCAAATTTTGAGAATAATCCCAAGTTATGTTCTCCATAAACGTCTAATGTGCCTTCCACCATGAATCAGCCTGTTTAATAATGTATCTGATAATATAATTTTATTTCACTAGGACACAGGGAGAGTAGATATTCACTTGAATGTTTTTTTACCGAATCCCCCACGGCCATGAATTAATTGCAGGAAATGTTCAAAACATTTCTGGCAATAATTCATTCCCTGGGGGCATTTGAAGTGAAAATAGGGCTGTGAAGATTCCGGAATAATTCTGGTTTTTGTAACTGAACGGTCTACTTTTCTGGTAGGTGATTTGTGTGGAATCCAAGGTAACGGTTGTATGGCAAGATGGCACTGAAGAAAAAGACATTCCATCCACCCAGCTGTATTACTCCATCTCTTTGGACGACCACGAATTCTTTCCCGGAGAATGGGTAGTTAGTGATAACGCCAAAGACGAAAGTGATAAATATGGGGTCGTCCAAAGCGTCAATTATTTGGAAAGGACGGCTAAGGTGAGAAATATCCTCTTTTCTTTTATTTGAACAATTTCTCCAAATTTGGTGTATGTTATTTTTTCGATTTTCTTGTTTCTAGATCAAATGGTTCACATATTCCGAAACAAAAAAGGTGCCTGAAGAATTAGCAATAAACGAGATGAGCGTTTACGATTTGAAGAAGCATTCAAAGTTCGTTTTCCGTCCACGTAGCATAGTTAAGTCGAAACCCGATCAAGACGAAAAATTGGGCAAAGTTATTGATAGTTGTATAGAAGTAAGTATAACGGGTCAATTCTGACCAAACCAGTATTTATACTTTTTATACCTTTTACATAACATTTATTGATCAAGAAACATGTTTTTCTGCAACCGACACAAAAGTCGTCCATTTTGATACCAAAATTGGCTCTTAAATTGACGTTTCTATTACTGACACAAAAATAGGTATGTTGCTAGGCAACATATTTAGTTCCTAGGAGCTAAAGTTGAATTTTAGTTCCTAGGAGCTAAAAATGAACTTTAGCTCCTAGGAACTAAAAAGGATCTACTGGACGTCATCAAGAATAAACAACATTGTGACTGTTGGTTATTTGGGTTGAGACGCATACCTGATTTGTTTCCGATTTCAGCAGATTTGGCATTTCATACCCATGCTGGAGATATAAATACACCTTTATTATAGTTTAGTATTGAAATTATAAACATCTCAGTTGAGTATTTTTATTTTGATCAGGGAAGCCTTCAAGATTCGAATACTTGCTTGATCTGTATTTCATTCGTTATTCTCGGGATGGATAACTTGTTTTTGAATAATCACGGCAAGCAATAGTTTTTTTGTCTCAAACAACGATATTGTTTAGCTTCATTTTGATCATCAAATCAAACACAGTGTAGTATGGAGAGGAATAAATAATCATTATTATCATTGTTGATATGCTCACTAACCTAACATTTTCCACGTCTTGTTCCTATAGCTGGCACTGGCACGGTATTTGCCATTAGAGCACTTGGTTCATACACAAATATGTCACTCTGTGGTTGTATTTATATTGAAACTACAATTATTCGAACATCCTAGGCTCGGCTTCGCTAAACGCTCCGCCTCGCAAATGCAAAATTCGCTTGTCAAACAAAGTGTCACTTTTGATCCTAATAAAACAATCTACTATTATAGAGGGAAACAAAAAAAAATGAATCAAATTTGCAATACAATGAAAGATGAATAGTTCAATCAGAATAAATTGATACAAGGAGAGAGTTGGATTGATAAAATATATTTCGTCAGTTCACACTTAAATTTTGTGACGAACCTAATAGATTTTATTCTGTTGGATAGACTATTATAAATATTTATTCTACAAAAATACAATGATTCCCGAATTAGGTTTCTATTTGGACAGTTTTCAAATGCATACTTTTTGTAGAGAGAGCCAATATCTAGCAGATCCCTTGGTATATTCTAGATGTTGATTCCAGAAATGGTAGTTTATAAATACATTTTATGGCTTTATTTTGAAGAAATTTCAGAGGCTTCAAAACAGATTTTGCTGCAGTTCCCCAGATCAATATCAGATACTGCAATTTAGAGTAAATCAAACTGAAATAAGTATTTAAGAGGTATAAAAGACCTCAATTTGTATAAAATACCAAAAAACCTAAGAGTTTGGAATTTTTTGTAGGATCTATACAAAAATTCCCGAATTTTAAAGGATCGATTCGGTTATCAGGTATAACTCTTTTCGAAATGAACATGAAAGAAAATCTATCGAAATTGAGTATCAATTCATGATCTTGTAATTGAAGCGAGATCTTGGTTTTTTATTTTTTGTATATTTTGTCCGTAATGAATGAGAGTTGTGTCATCGGCAGATTATTTTAAATTGCCTTGTAATTTCAAGCTAGAAATAGGATTTATATAAATCAGATATAAAATAGGTCCGAGAATTGATCCCTGGGACACACCACAAGATAAGTTTCTCATTGAAAAAATGAATCTTCCATTTGAAATTTTGTACCATACCAAAGCGCCAAAACAAATTACCATGAAGTGATACAAGTGCATTGAATTGATATAATTGATGACTATTCACCTAGTTCGAATGACGGTGAGTTGGTGGATCATCAGATTCTCCACCAGGTGAATGACATTAATTCTCTATGAATTTAGCAAACAACAAATTTTCCACCACTGGTGTTGATGAACCAAATTGGTGAATTCAGCATCACAGTGAATCTGAAGTTGAATTTAAATGACATTCTACTTATGAACTTTCAAAAAAATGACAGTGTAATTTCATGTTCTTTACCACAAGGAGGTGCATTTTTATTGTTGCTATGGTAACGATACAAAATACAGGCTTCCACTTGGTCGTGAGTGTTAGATGTGGAATCTTCGACATATTTTTTTTGTAGATATATTCCCGCTCAAAGTCAATCACAACAAAAGTCAGTCGTACTGAAATTTTTGTTTTTTTTTTGTTGATTTTGTAACGTTCCCCGCAAGGTTACATGAAAGTTTTTAGTTGCTATGGCAACGATACTAAATATAGGCTTCCATTTGGTTGTGAGTGATAGATCTGGAATCTTCGACATATTTTTTTTGTAGATATATTCCCGCTCAGAGCCAATCATAAAAGTCAGTCGTTCTGAAATTTTTGTTTTTTTTTTGTTGATTTTGTAACGTTCCCCGCAGGGTTACATGAAAGTTTTTAGTTGCTATGGCATGGATACAAAATACAGGCTTCCACTTTGTCGTGAGTGTTAGATGTGGAATCATCGACATATTTTTTTTGTAGATATATTCCCGCTCAAAGTCAATCACAAAAGTCAGTCGTACTGAAATCTATGTTTGTTTTTTTGTTGATTTTGTAACGTTTCCCGCAGGGTTACATGAAAGTTTTTAGTTGCTATGGCAACGATACAAAATACAGGCTTCCACTTAGTCGTGAGTGTTAGTTGTGGAATTTTCGACACATTTTTTTGGTAGATATATTCCGGCTTAAAGTCAATCACAAAAGTCATTCGTACTGATATTTTCATTTTTTTTTGTTGATTTCGTAACGTTCTCCGCAGGGTTACGTGAGAGTTTTTAGTTGCTATGGCAACGATACTAAATACAGGCTTCCACTTGGTCGTGAGTGTTAGATGTCCTAAACTTGACAGTATTTGACAAAAAAGTCATAAACATATTACTTCATTCTCATATACTCAGTCGTATTACCTATGATAAACGTTTGAGGATCTTGTTCAAAAAATTATTTCAGTAAAATATCTGCACTTTATAAGAAAGCACTGAAAGTATTGTATCGCCTCTCATTTGATATCCCAACAAATGATCTGTATGCCATAACAGGAAAATTTTCATTGGATGAATTATATAAAATAGATTCTCTTAAAGTTTCATATAATATAATAAACAATAATCTGAAATCCAATTTTATTTTGATAAGAAACTCAGAAATTCATGGTCATCACACGAGACAATCAAACTTATTTCATCTCGATTCTGCTACTTCTATAATTCTAAAATTTATACTTCGCCATCTATTGATTGGTCCCTGTGGCTATTTTTTATGACTTGATCGATTTAGCATTTTCAGATTTTTTAGATATTTTTTTGTTGTTGTTGTTGTCACCTTATATTATTTTATTATTGTTGTTTGTAATCAACTTCCTCATACCAGAATTTTATTTCTGACTGGAAGCTAGTTTTTCTTTGATAGATATATTCCCGCTTGAAGTCAATCACAAAAGTCAGTTGTACTAAAATTTTCTTTTTTTTTTGTTGATTTTGTAACGTTCCCTGTAGGGTTACGTGAAAGTGAAGTGGATCGACGGCCTCGAGGAGCGCTGTTGGCCGCAGGACATCGAACTCATACCCGACACCGACGACTACTCGTTCTCTGACGAGGAATCGACGGGGGACGAAGCGGGGGCCGGCTCCTCCTGGGAGACGGAGAGCATCGAATCGTACGCCGGCGATCTGTCGGACGAGACGGCGCTGCAGAACGTGGCGGCGCGGTTGGATTTCGTAAGGAATAGGGTGGTGTTTATGCGGGAGGCTTTCAAACAACACACGATCAGCGAGAACTTTTCGGTAAGCGAAGCTAGCACCATTTTTTATTCATTATTATAGATATTTTCTTGTCTTGAAGACTTTCGTGAAAACATTGTATCGAACTTATTGGTCCTTCGAGCCGGATCTATCAAAATCAAACCTTCAAGGCTGCCAAGTTCCGGTACTAAATGCGCATGATTCATGATGTCCAGTTCAATATCGTGAGTGGTATAGCTCATATTTTACGACATTAGCGCTTCAGATAGTAGTTTTGGTAAGCGAAGCAAGCACCATTTTTGTATTCATTATTATGGATATTTTCTCATTTTGATGACTTTCATGTCAGTGAAAACATTATATCGAAAGTTATGGCCCTTCAAGCCGGATCTATCCAAATCAAACCTTCAAAAATGCCAAGTTCCGGTCCTAAATGCGCATGATTCATGATGTCCAGTTCAATATCGTGACTGGCATAGCTTATATTTTACGGCATTAGCGCTTCAGATAGTAGTTTTTGGTAAGCGAAGCAAGCACTATTTTTAATTCATTATTATGGATATTTTCTCATTTTGATGACTTTTTCATGTCAGTGAAAACATTATATCGGAAGTTATGGTCCTTCGAGCCGGATCTATTCAAAATAAAACCTTCAAGACTGCCAAATTCTGGTCCTAAATGCACGTGATTCATGTTGGCCAGTTCAATCCCCACGCACATTCTCCATATGGCTTCAGCGAACAATATAGTCAGTGTTCAAACTGTTTATTCGTGACTATTTCACATGTAACACCATAATTTTTCTGTAATATAATAATCATCATGAAATACTTTCCTGCAATGTAAACTATTGAATGGAATCGGCTTTAACTTGATGGAAATTCATCATAACAATGACCATAACCAAGCCCACCATATCTATGCTCGGTATTTCCATCAGCAACACTCTTTCATGGGATAACCATGTCAGATCCATCGCAAAAGCTGCTTCACAAAAACTCGGATTCTTGTTCCGTGCGAAGAGCTACTTTACATCTCAACAGCTTCTCATGATCTACAAAGCGCAGATACGGCCTGTTCTAGAATACTGTTCCCACATATGGGGTTCAGCACCAAAACATACGCTGATGCTCTTAGATTCCATCCAGAGAAGAGCCATTCGCCTGGTGGGTGACGCCACACTCACTCACTCTTTGACATCATTGGAACACCGTAGAAAGGTCGGTGACCTTCCACTTTTCTATCGATACTTCCACGGGAAATGTTCTTCGGAAATCTCTGCTATCATCCCTTCACTAGCAATACCAATCAGACGAACTAGACAAGCCCAGTCAGCACATTCTTTCGTTGTCAACCTCGAAAGATGTCGAACAGCACTTTATCAAGACTCCTTCATCCATAGAACGGCTAGGCTCTGGAATACATTGCCTGTGGAAGTATTCCCAACAACATATAATCTCCAAAAGTTCAAAAAAAATTCCAATACCTACCTCCTGTCCCTATCCTCCCTAGGAACGCACGATGTTCTTTGAACAGGGGATTCCCTTTCGTGCGCTCCAAGCGATTAAAAAAAAAAAAAAAGAAAGAACTCACCTGAGTAATAATTTTCACAAATTCACACACTCGCTGTGTGCAAAAGTGAATCTGTGCCGGGGGAGCATCGAGTCGTACCTGGGCGATCTATCTAACTCGTCCGTTAGCACTGCAGAACGTTGCAGCGAGGTTGGATTTTGTATGGAACAGGGTGGTGTTTGTACCGAAGGCGTTCAAACAACACACCACCACCGAAAACTTCCCTTTTTGATGACTTTCGTGTCTGAAAATATATCGAGAAACATTGTATCGAACATATTGGTCCTTCGAGCCGGATAAATTCAAATAAAACCTTCAAGACTGACAAGTTCCGGTCCTAAATGCGCGTGATTCATGATGTCCAAATCCATCTCGTGAGTAGCATAGCTTCTTTTTCATGACATCAGCGGCAGGTAGTATCTTATGTGAGGAATTCTCGTTCTCCGACGAGGAATTGACGGGGGACAAGACGGCGGACAAGATGGCCTATTCTCACATTTTTATGGATTTTTTCTTTGTTTATTGATTTATATCTTGACGCACTGATATCCTTTGGCTAGCTCTGTAAAGAAGTCATGGGCATATGCTGTGAGTAAAAGTGCTCAATCATAGCAAAACTATCTATTAAAAATCGAAGAATATACTTTTACAAACTCACACAAGTTTTCACAAATATATCCAAGAAAATTCTGGAATTCATAATCATGAAATTGAACAATATAACTGGTTTCATCTTGACGCCGCTAGATCCATACTAGAAAAAAAAAGATTCATTCATTAGGCCTTAACTGAATTCAATAAACTACCTACCAATATCAAAAACTGCAGAAATATAGGTACATTCAAAAATAAAGTAAAAGAACTGATTTTGGTGTATTTTGAATGATGAAATGTTTACCTAATACCAGAGCCTATTCTGTCTGGAAGTTATTTGTTCAATAAATATATAATAGTATATTATGTAACAAGTGTTATAAACGTCCTTTTAGTAACGAGTATTTTAAGCACGAGCGGAGCAGAGCGGAGCGAGTGTTTGATAAACGAGTGTCTAGAAGAGTTTATAAACGCGTTACATACTATGCTTTTTCTACGAACTCCGAAAATTACATTAACATACCTGCTATTCCTGCTAACCTACAAATCGATTCGTAAGGAATGGGAATTGAGAACATAATACATGGAACTGTATGCAACCAGCGAGACACGTATGAGTGATATTGGTTGTAGATGTGTCCAGTCCATTGCTTACTAACCTTTGTTTCACGTTTATTGTCATGCTTAGCGCAGAATAAATAAATTGTTCTCAAAGATGGATGCTTCATTTTTACACTTCTTGGAGATATGCAAGAACCAGAACATTCCCTTCGATTTCACTTTCGTCTACATTTCGCATATATTTTCAATGAAGAATTCTGATACAAACGAATATTGTTTGAATAATTCTGATACAAAATTTTAAAATAACAAATGACAGTGTTAATACAATTGACAGGCCAGATATGTCTCAAATTACTGGAACTGTGTTTGATGAACTGTGTCGCCATAGTAACGTGTTTGAGAAATCGTGTTGCCATGGTAACGTGTTTAATATTTGGAATAAATCACAGATCGACAATCCGTGATTAATCGATCATTTAGCGTGGTACTTATTCGTACGCTAAATGCCATATTAGTCATGTGAGTAGAAAAAATAAATAAATAATCAACTCTCATATTCATTATTCCAATTTTTTTGGGATTTTCTCTCCTCGTTTCTATAAAATAAAAATATGAATATTATTTCAATATACGTGTATTAAGGACAAATCAGATGATTTGCCCCAAAATGTCACTGCGTTTAAAGAATTTTCCTATCAGAGAGCCTAAAAGGAAAAATCACTAGCTTGTCAGTGACAATTTGTTGGAAAAGAGAAATAAAGGTATATACAAATTGTCACTGACAAGCTAGTGAATTTTTCTTTTAGGCTCTCTGATAGGAAAATTCTTTAAACGCAGTGACATTTTGGGGCAAATCATCTGATTTGTCCTTACTACACGTATATTGAAATAATATTCATATTTTAATTTTATAGAAACGAGGAGAGAAAATCCCAAAAAATTTGGAATAATGAATATACCACCTCCTCGATTAACCTACAGACAGTATTTAACTCTCATATCTTCTTTCTCTTTCAGTTCCTCAAAGACCTCCTCTTGGTCTACGAGAACTCCAGCTACCTTGACAAGCTGCTCGGCACCGCTTTCTTCAGCCTGAAGAGCAAACACTTCCAAGCTCTGCTGCACCAGGCCAAAGAGAAGGCCAAATCGCTCGGCGTCGATCTGCGCGGCCGGCTGTTTTCCAGCGACAACATGTGTCCGTCCATATCCAGGATCAAGGTGACACTCTAACAATAACCCAACTTTTTTCTGCGAATGGAAAAATGTTTGACATCAATGAAAGTCACATATTAACCATATCATAAATATATTAACCTCTCATTCTGTTATAACAAATAATTGTTACTTTTAAAATATCAACATATTGAGAATGTTGAAGGAACTGCTTCAAGCAAACTAGAAAAAGATTATTCGACATAGCCTTCAAAAATATTTAACCGCAGATACGTATTTCGGGTTGTCGGCCCTCATCAGTACGGTGAAAGAAGTGCAAAAGATAGGCTACACTTGGTGAAAGACTGAACAACAAATCGACGGGGTCAAAAAACAATGGGCGAGTGGACTGATAATGAATTATTGGCATTCAATTACTCCACTGCGTCGTTAGAAACCTAAATTAATTTTTGCAACACTTCTAACAGTTTTATGTATATAATGAGCTTGCATTGTTCGGAAATGGTTGATTTTCAGAGCCAATTTCAAACGAACCTTCATGGCCGCCATTTGGCGATACGTCGAATAATTGGTGACGTCAGTTTTTTGCCATTTCGTTATTGGTCAGATAATCTTCCATTTCCATTGATGAAGCAAGGTTTACAAGTCAACCCAATTATAATCAAGTTATCAAAGAGATGTTAGAGTCCTGTCGTTGAATAAAACATAATAGGAGGAACCCATGATATTATAGTTCATTTCTGACTTTTTTGACCAAACAGCATGTCTATGTATCTCCTATCCTCCATAACAAAATATCATGTGAATGTTGGACACTTGACAACATTGTGCTGAATGCTGAAAACTGACATGACCACGCCCACAAGTCGTGCGCCGTGTTGTCACGTTGACCGATTCAAATGTCATCTAGTGTGAATTAATATGATTATTATTCACACAAATTTATCATAAGCAATAAGCCACAAATCATAAGGGGACATTTTGAGACAATTGAATGTATATTGCTAATTCGGAATATTATCAATATTCAATTGAAAATTAGCTATAGCTACTGCTTGACCGAAACCACAATAATTGTGTTGCTGGTTCTGTTTGTTGACTCCGTCGATTCGTTGTTTATTCGTCTTCTACCAAGTGTTGCCTATCTCTTGCACTTCTTTCACCGTACTGATGAGAGCCGAAAACCCGAAACACGTATCTGCGGTCAGCTCTCTCTCCAATAATCTTTTCTTAGTTTCTTTAAAATATTATGCTGTCCTCCTAAGAGGGGATCTCTTTACTAAGGAAAAAAACACAGTATAATATGTCATAATTAGTGGAAATATTCATCGATTTTGTTGGCCGTATGTACAAAATTCACTGTGAATACTAGACAAAAACGCAGTTCCTGCAGTATAAAGTGCAGCATATGCTCTATATACTGCACTCTTCCTTGTCCTTCCGTGTCGGTTACTGCATTTTTGCTCAGTGAGTTGGTGAGAATGTGGAATGCGTATCTGTCTGTTTGCAGGTTTCGTTGGTAGATTGTTTTGGTTCGTTCACGTCGGTATATTCATTCATCAGAATTCTTCTAAAGTGCCAATAAAGAGTGGACCTGAAGGAAATTAAATACACCGACTTCTTTCTTTGGAAGTACTGTCAACAAACAAATCAAAAGGCAGAAAATAGATTATACTCATAACAGACATGATAATAATAATAATAGTGAATCGATTATATTCATCAAAACCGAAAAAGGTGGAAAGGCAATAAAGTGATTTTAAATGTTTTATCAACAGTTTTGCATCGTAGTTTCTTGAATTCAAACATTCTTCATTCAACGAGTTACTAGGCATAAATGCCGTATGTTTACACCACCTGATGATGGCTATTGTAGACAATACAAAATGTCAATGTTTCTTAAGAAACACGTATATCACTTCGCAATTGACCATGAGGTCTCTTGGCCAAAGTAAAATTTAAATAATCGCATATCTCAAAATGGCTGTTTTTCACATACGGCACTTTCGTTTAGCAGGGCAGTATGTACCTTTGATAACAATATTTATTAAGAAATGAGTAGCAATTTACGAATTGTACCAATGAATTACAAATAAATGGTATTATTTTTATTATTATTATTGAGGTGGCTGAGAAGGAGAACATGAACAAGATGATCAAGCTGGAGAATAGGATCAACGCGCAGATCGAGAAGAAGGAGGGCAAGGAACCTTTGGGTGAGTGGTCACAGCTTACTGGAAAAAATTGCAAATTTTGTTATCTGTTCGATCATAGACACAGATGTGTATAGATTCGGAATCCTCGTGAAATTTTGCGTTGAACTAGATAGTTCTCAACCGGAAATTTGGCAGTTTCTAAAATTCGGCGAGAAAAAATTGTATCTTTGTCATCTATTTTTTCTAAGACACAAATGTGTATAGATTCAGAATTCTCATGACTTTTTACTTTAGATCGCCCTATGAATTTCTAGCCCCTAGCACCCCTCTGACACCCGACAGCACCGAAGTCCCCTACATATCCCAGGAGAACCTCGGAAATTTAGCAAATTTGAATTTTGGCGAAAAAAATTCTATATTTGTTATCCGTTCGATTAGAAACTCAAATGTATATAGATTCGGAGTCCTCGTGAAATTTTAAGTCGATCTAGATCATACACATATAAAAAGAGGGGAGACGAAATTGTTTTTGTTCCTATCCAACATATTTTTCAGCAGAAAAGGCTGTATTGCCGTGTTATTTATTCTTTAAGTCATTCACTTATGTCAAAAGCCGACGTTACAGTGTTGTGCTGTGTTTGTTACCATTTCAGGACTTTTTGTATTGCAATTGATGTTCAGTGTTTTCTTGTCATCAAACTATGTATAGACAATTATTAACAATCTACTATCGTGTATGGATCGCCAGTGCGTGGATCGTAAAAAACTTCACCATTCAAACCCCAAATCGGTATTGCGACTGTAAGTTAGGTTATGCTTCTTTTAACTTGAGCAGTGGTGTAGTTATCGCAGGTTATTTAACTAAATTATTACAAGAAACGTTTCTCTTCTTTGAATTTCAATAAATGATAGATCAAAATATGGTAAGTACCTAAGGTACTACGAACATTTGGTACTAAAATTGAAAGATTAGACAAAAAAATTCCTAATTGGTATAATAACATTGTCATTATAGTAAAATTGTCTTGTTCCTTGCTTAACCTACGTGACTGGCAAGAAAAATGTGAACATTGACGCACAGTTTACAGCGTTGCCACATTTTTAATTCATCTCTTTCTAACTCCTTTTTTATGTCTATGATCTAGATGTTTTTATTCGGAAATTCAGCAGTTTTTGAGACTTGGAAGGAAAAATAGTATCTTCGTCATCCCTAATTTCTCTGAGACACAAATGTGTATAGATTCAGATTCCTCGTGACATTTCACTTGAGATCACCCTATGCATTTTCAGCCCCTAGCACTCCTCCGACGCCCCACAGCACCGAAGTCCCCTAGATATCCTAGGAGAACCTGTGCGTTTTTAAGTCAGCAATTCTGAATTCTGGTGAAAAAAAAAATACTAACTTTGTTATCCGTTCGATTAGAGACACAAATGTGTATAGATTCGGAGTCCTCTTGAAATTTTACGTCGATCTAGACTAGATCATACGCATATAAAAAGAAGGGAGACGAAACTGTTTACATTTTGTCCCTATCCAACATATTTTTCAGCAGGAAACGCTGTATTGCCGTGTTATTTATTCTTCAAGTCATTCACTTATGTCAAAAGCTGACGTTACAGTGTTGTTGTGCTGTGTTTGTTACCATTTCAGGACTTTTTGTATTTCAATTGATGTTCAGTGTTTTCTTGTCATAAAACTATATATAGACAATTATTAACAATCTACTATCGTGTATGGATCGCTAGTGCGTGGATCGTAAAAAACTTCACCATTCAAACCCCAAATGGGTATTTCGACTGTAAGTTAGGTTATGCTTCTTTCAACTTGAGCAGTGGTGTAGTTATCGCAGGTTATTTAACTAAATTATTACAAAAAACGTTGTTTCTTTTCTTTGAATTTCCATAGATGATAGATCAAAATATGGTAAGTATCTGAGGTACTACGAACATTTGGTACTAAAATTGAAAGATTAGACAAAAACATTTTCTAATTGGTATAATAACATTGTCATTATAGTAAAATTGTCTTGTTCCTCGCTTAACCTACGTGACTGGTTAAGAAAAGTGTGAACATTGATGCACAGTTTACAGCGTTGCCACATTTTTAAGTCATCTCTTTCTAACTCCTTTTTTATGTCTATGATCTAGATGGTTTTTAACCGGGAATTCAGCAGTTCTTGAGACTTGGAAGGAAAAAATAGTATCTTCGTCATTCGTAATTTCTGAGACACAAATGTGTATAGATTCAGAATCCTCGTGACATTCTACTTCAGATCACCCTATGCATTTTCAGCCCCTAGCACTCCTCTGACGCCCGACAGCACCGAAGTCCCCTACATTTCTCAGGAGAACCTCTGCGTGGAACTACTGTCGATGCTGAAAATTCGCATGGATCTCGCCTATGCGGAAATCATCAGCCGCATCGGCGGTCCTCAAGCCTTCAGGTACGATCCTTAGAGTAGGAATTTTCTTTTGTGCGCTCCAAGTGATAAACGAAAAGATGCCTTGTATATCCTTTGAAGCCAACTTGAAAACAAGAAAATGTTACTTGATGTTTCCTTGAAGTTGAAAGGAAAGCTAACATTGATTTATACAGGGGAGGAACGCACCAAACTCCAAGTGTGTATCGTACAGGTATAAATAATTTCAAAAAACCCATATGTTCATATACGGCTCTTATTTGTTTTCATTCTGAATTTGAATAAATGTGTGGCATTTTATAAGACTTCAATCGTACAAATTTGAAAATATTATCAATAGAGACGGAAAATGTATTCAAGAAACGAAAAAGTCGATATGTTGCTAATATGCAATTTTAATCAACACACAAATGAAGAAGAAAAATTATTGATGCAATCGATTAACTGTCAAACACATAAAACATTTTGTGTAGGTACACCGCCTATTAAGTGAAATATTTATGAAAAAATAGACTGATAGCCCTGTGGATCATCATATAAGAGGAACAATTTTAGTTTTATTATTCCAAATGGGAAGATCATGTGATAGGTACATGGCGAAAATAAAAGACAGATAGTTTCTGTACGAGTAGCTGAATTCGAAAAAATATGTTCCTATCTTAGATTCCTCAATATCATGAGTTATTTTCGAAGGTTTTCATCTTGACTCAAACAAGCTATTGACAACCTGCAGACATTGATCAGAATATCAAAACATTTTGAATAATATCGGTTTACTAATGATCTTTAAATTTCAAAGCCTACCAAGTGTCGATATATCATCAATTCATGTCACAGCCAACTTATCTTTTTTGAATAAAAAGCAATTCAACAGCGAATTGAGAAATAAATGCCACTTTGTGATACATGGTTGGGTAGAGAATTTCAAGGCGAAAAAGATAGACTGAAGTAATGTACAGGGTGACATAAAAAAAAGTTGGGGTCACTTCCGGTCAAACAGGTGGTTGAAAAAAATTCTTGTTAAGTTCTCAAAGTGCGCTACCATTTATTATATACCCCCTGTGAATTTCAAAATTTTATCTCTTCAAATAATAAAACTACAGGCTGCTACATGTCTCCTGTGTCACCCGGTATATGTCATTGTCCATTTGATTTATTTGTCAATATCAATATTACTGTTAATGAGGATCGTATTATTATCATCATCACTATTATTTGTGTCATAGTTATTTTGTGTGCTGCTTTGTTGACTTGTCCTATAACTCTTGTAAGTTCCAAAGGATTAATAAATTGATAAATTGATTGATTGAATTCCAGCCACCCTCTACATCTGTGTCATTCATTTTCCCAACAATTTCGAAAATTCCTCGTGTTACAGCGTGCTGACCAAAGCGTCGGAGCAGGTCGCCCCGACGCCGTTCAGTTCGACGCCGTTGCCCAGCTGCCCCACCACGCCCGACGAGTCCTTCTCGGCGTTGAGCCCGTGGCGGGCGGGCCTGGGGGCGGGCTTGGCAGACGGGACGGTCGGGGCGGGGCAGAACGAGCCGTACGCCGCGGTGGAGGACGCGCCGCGCTCGCACCACTACTACGGGGCCAAGTTCGAGCCTACCGATCTGCAAAGGTGAGGGCAATGATGATAATAAAAATGTATATGACCTATTTTAAAGTACTAAAGAAACACGCTCTTATAGATAGGCCAACCAAAAAGTAGAGTTCCTAAATGTACTTGACACTGCTGTTTTGACGTTTTTTGTATATTGATTGTCTTTATTACCCCAAGAAACGTAGTTGTTGATAATAGGGATACATAATGTTTTACATACAATTATGAAATAATGATAAGATATAACGAGTATGCAAATAATCTTGTAATGTAATGTAATGTATTTATTAAATCCTTCCTACTATCGATACAATAGAATGGACAAGTCAGCACAGCACAGGTAATAAAGAATGCTAGAGTACTAAATTATGAATAATACAAAACTACAAATAGTACAATGGACGAGTCAGAACAGGTAATAAGAAATACTAGAATAACTAGATTATATATGGAAGTCCTAAACAATTATACAAGTATAAGTAAAAGTAAATAGCAGAGGTACAGCACTAATATTTCACATAATTGGACAGGAACAAATGATTAGACAAACAATAACAATCAAATTACAGTGAAAACTCAAATAAAACTGGACAGAAAATTATCAAATTCTTCCAAATTGTAAAAGCAATTTTGTATCAATATTTTCTTCAGTCTACCTTTGAAAACTTCACAATCAGGACTAGCTTTTACATCATCGGGAAGCCTATTAAAGTATGAAGCTCCAGCCCCAAGAGGCGATTTTTTATAGCAATATCAACCTTGTCTATTATAAGTAGGTATTCAAATAAGAAATGGAATTATCAAAGTCTCTGAAGCAGATATTTTTTCAAATCAATTTTGAATCTAGTTGCTTTCTGTATATTCCTCAAATGACTTGGTAATGAGTTGTATAGAACGATTCCTGTGTGAAAAATGGATTGATTGCCGATATTTGACTTATACGTATTTGCTATTAGTAAATTTGATTGTCTTATTCCATGATTATGTAATGAATTAATTTCATTGAAATTTAAATTCGAAATTTTCAATTTATATAGAGCAACATATTTTAAGTTTGTATAGTGCTGTCAGATCTAATAAATCTCTAGGTTTGTATAAATTCATGGTTGGTTTGAGAGAATTTAAATTGAAAATACACATCAATGTTTTATTTTGTATGTTTGTATGTAAATATTGGTACTTCCCCATATAGATATTAAGTATTGAAATTTTGAGTAAATAAGAGAGAAATAAATTCTCTTCAAGTATCTAGTAGAAATGAAATTTCGTATTTTGAATAAAATGCCTGTAATGGGATTAAGTTTGTTTCTCAAATTCTATATGTTTATTCCACAATAGTTGTTCATCAATATAAAGACCTAAAAATTTTGTAACATCTGTATATTTGATGAGTTTACTATTGAAGGATAGTGTTCTATTCGAAATGTTCAGTGTTCCTTTTGCTATGTACATATATGAAAATTTGTTATAGTCGAGAGATAGTTTATGAACTTGTAACCAAGTGGATATTTTCTCTAAATCACTTTTCATGTCCATGATAATATTATTTGTATCTTTTGAGAAATAAATCAATGTCATGTCATCTGCAAATAATTTAAGTTTCACCTCTCAATTCCAAGTTTGATATTGAATTTATGTAGATTAAAAATAAAACTGGTCCCAAGACTGACCCTTGCGGTACACCGCATGAGATGTTCATTAAGGAGCTACAAGTACCATTTACATCAACATAAAGTTTTCTATTTGATAGATAATTTCGGAACCAAAATCCCAATTTAATTTTCACTTTGCTCTTTAAAATGCCTCTAAAGCGTAACACCTGATCTGTCTAGAAGTTTGTCACGGGCACGTTGCACAAAATCAACGTGAGTGAACGCTTGTCCCTTTATAAACAGATGTTTCGTAGGATGATGAAGACAATCGATCAATCGAAAATAGAACAATGAACTGAATGAACTCCATTTTTCATTCAAAATCTTCATGAACCAACTAGTAAATGAAAAATACGAAACATTAAATTTCTACACCTATGAAGTCGACACAATACAAATTTCGGCTTCCATCAGGTTTTTGAAAGCCGTCCAGCGGGAGTACAAGCTGCTGAAGGAATCTCTGCCTTCTGGCGTGTGGGTGCGCTCGTACGGCAACCGCATCGATCTGCTGTCGGTGATGATCGAGGGCCCCGCCAAGACACCCTACGAGGATGGACTGTTCCTCTTCGACATACAGCTGAGCATCGACTATCCCAGGTCGCCGCCGCTCGTCCACTACATCAGCTACAGCACCGAAAGGTCAGTAAGAGTCAAGTTTCGATAATCGATTAAAACAGTGTGAGGGTCTTGAGGCATTTCGATTTACTTGCCTCAATTGAATAAATGTCTATGTCTGCTGTGCTTGTCAAGCAACATTCAACACAAATACGTCATATCTGAGAAGCTCGTTTGGTCGGACCGAAGATTGAACGCTGAATGACTGCTGGGTGGTGACGACGTTGGCTATCTGTCGAATTGGTAGAATCCATATTATTCAAAATAATAACGGCCTCGACTAACCCTGCTCAGGGTTGGATTCTTTCTCACCAATCAACACCATGTCCCACGATTACAAATAGATTGGAAGTACACTTCAGTCAAGCTAGTCTCGATCAAAACTCACTCTCTATCGGTCTCTCTCTTTCTGGCGTACAAAAATGCCGCAATATTTTACCCAGTTTATTAGGTTTAAGTAGAAATGACTGTACTTATTGAAATATTTGGGGGCGACCCTATCGCTCCACAAATCTATGAGCTTAATAGCGACATTGCACAATGGGATGGTCGGGTTCGACTATTCCAAGAAAATTCTGCTACGCAGCACGGCGATATATAGCAGCAAACCAACAGCAACGGAGTTGAGTTGAGTCCAGTCGGTTTTGTTCCTCGTGGTAGTTGGTGGTGGGCGATGGAGTTCTTGACGAGGAGGAGAACTCCTCCCGCAGCTCTTCCGCCCGGTCGGTCTTCACGGTAGATTTGGTAGCCAGGCATTCTGAACTGTTGGTCTGGTTTGAGTCGGGACTCTTGTAATGCCATGATATCAATGGAATTTCTGGACAGAAATTCCTCGAGTTCTAGACGTCGAAGAAGTGCTCCGTTGATGTTCCAGGAGCTTACTTTCAAAGCGTCTGTTTGTAGTTCGTGTTCATGACCTTCCATCGGTGACCGGCACGGACGTTTGTAGGAATGCTGCTGTTTGCTGCATTAGGATCTGCATGGCTTGGGCCATAGCTTGCTGCATTGACTGCTGCATGAACGCTAGGTGTTCCTGGGGAATACCTGGGGGGGTGGGTTGAGCTGGGGGAGAAGTTCTCTTCTTCGCCTGTGCTGTGGAAGAAGTTGCGTTAGCATACGACTTACCTGGGATTGTGGTGGATGCTGCAGTTGCCTGTCGAGTCCTTGGTTTTTGGGCTGGTTTGGTGGTGGGTTTTGTTGCTGCTGTGGTTGGCAGTTTCGGGGTTTTGGGGCATCCTCTGAAGTTGGCTGGATGTTTACCTTTACAGTTGGCACACGTGGCGTCGGTGTGCCTTGGTTTCGGGCATGTTGAGGTGGGGTGGGGTTCGCCGCACTTCACGCATCTGTACTCACGCCTGCAGTTGGTCTGTCCGTGACCAAATTCTGTACGAGTACGGATTATAGAAGTTGGTTTAGTACCTAGAGGTAATGAGGGTTAATACCTGAAAGGAAGGGTTGCACAGTGTCTCTAGCAGAGTGTTTTTATTTCTAAAAACAAACTTCTAGAGTATCAGAGTTAATACATATGATTAATATATAAAATATAATGCAAAGATGTATCAAGTGTGACACGCTAGCGGTGGGGGTCCCGCGTAACGGTCGTCTGAAAGAGAAAAAAGTTTGATACGCTAGCAGTGGGGGTCCTGCGTAACGATCGTCTGGAAAGAAGGTATGTCTTAGAAGTATGTTTTTATTTCTAAAAACAGTCCTCTAAGGTTTTGTTATGATACAAATTGATTAATATGAAGAAATATAGCTCAAAATGGTATCGAAAGTAAGTGTGACCGCTAGCAGTGGGGGTCCTGCGTAACGGTCGTCTGAAAGAGAGAGAATGTCTTTCGGGGTGCTTTTATTTCTAAAAACAATTCCCGAAAGTATAGGTTATGATACAAAGGATTAATGGTACAAGACCATATATCAATTGTATCAAAGGTATGCAATTCGCTGTAGATATCTCGCTTTTACTTCTATCGCTAGTAGTATAACAGGAAATCAAAACATCAATCGGACAATAGGTAGACAGATAATGGTCAAATGATATAGCTTACTCACGAAGATTCACTAACTCACTGTGATCACTATGTATTGGCTGCTTACTGCTGACTAGACTAGTTACTGAGGCTAAAAAGTGCCCAGTTTTATAGATGACAGTGAAATTCTCTTAGGCCCCGCCCCTCGAGAATTCACTGTCTGACGTCCTCTGATTGGCCACATCTCGAAAAGCGAGTTAGAAATATAGAAAATCGAATATCTTGGCCATTTCTCGGCCGATTGAATGGGTAGTAGTGTCATTCGATAGGAAAATGATTCCTCTATCGAATAGTACAAAAATCAAGTCAAAATATTGAAGGGTAAGTAGCCGAATCGACGGCAGGTGGGCGGGGCGAAGGCAATTTCGTTGACAGCCATAATCCGATATATTGCGGGTAGTACTGGCGACAATCAGTTATTTCGGAACGCATTACAAAGTTGTCAATGAGTTTCGGAATGATTTGGGTAATGAAAGATCCGGTAATTCAGTGGAAGAACAAAATTAATAGAAAACTTAACCATCATGGTGTCATCACATAATAGAGGTGTATATCGATTTGCTATCGGTGATGAGGGCCCCGCCAAAACGCCCTACGAGGATGAGCTGTTCCTCTTCGACATACAGCTGAGCATCGGCTAAGAATCATGGTCAGTTCTTTCGTTAGTGACATATTTTCGAGTGAAAAACATGAATTTCATAATGAAAATGTGAACAAACCACCATTTACCAAATATTTCACAAAACAGTTCGAAATTCCACCTTCTTTTTCCGCCTGTCTGATACGCATTAACAGCTATTTACCTTTTTTATTATGTCATTAGACAATTTATGTACTCGAGATGTACTTCAATGACATATTTCATACATGAAAATCAACAAGAAATATAATTTTTTATGGCGAGTTCTTCATATTTAGTGATAATCATTTCTACCAGCTGACGGTCATTCAATTTTTCAATTATCAAACCCTGTTCGCTTGAATTGCTTGTTGCTACTTGTGAAACCTCCAGCTGCTTACCAGGTAGTCTTGAGTGCTGCTCTGTACCCTTTGTGAAGAACTTGGCAGTCTTGAAGGTTTGATTTGAATAAATCCGGTTCGAAGGACCCATATGGTCGATGCTTGATAGATAGTAGATTATATTTATATACCAATCAATTGTATGAAATAACAAATACGAATTGTGTAGTTGAAATATATGGAACTGAAACTCTTGAAATTTCATATAATATCATAAATAAAAAATGGAAGTCGAATATTATTTTAATACGGAATTATGAAATTAATGATCAACTAAACAATATAACTTGTTTTATCTTGACGCAGCTAGCCATACTCGGACAAAACAGATTCACTTATTCAGCCCAAACTGAACTCAATAAACTACCTGGCAAAATCAAAAACTGCAAAAATATAGGTACATACATTCAAGAATGAAGTAAAAAACTGAGCGAACTGGATTAATTTTATCCAGTTCGCTTAAAAATAATCAGTTTTTTACTTCATCATGTTATTTTACTATGTTTTTTCTACAAATATTATTCTTTGTTTGCCAATTTATAGTTGATGATATATTTTGAATGATGAAATGTTTACCTATAGGTATATAATTATGTATTTCCTTATACCTGCGCCTATTCTGTCCGGAAGTTATTTGTTCAACAGATAATTAAATACACTATTAAAAGTTTTCCCTATATTTTATTTATTCATTATTAAAATAAAATATATATCAGCGTACTATATTATTATCAATATACATTCTTTTTATAACATAAACATGATCAAAAAAGTTGAAAACTTGTCCATGATCAGGTAATTTTTTTTTTCCTTCCACTGACTAACTAAAATTAATTTTCTCATTGATTACAATTAACATAATGAATACATTTTTATATTATCTAAAAATAACTATATTTAACATGATATGTTCATAGGTATTTTATCATGTGAACAAATTTCCAAAATTTCTATATCCTCTATCAACCACGATTTAATTTCTTTTTGAATCCAAAAAAACTGATTTTCTTCAAAGAAGGAGGCAATTTATTGTAAAATTTTTCACCTATATGGAAGAATAATCAAAAAGTTATTTGAAGATGAATTTCAAGGTATATTTTTGAATTGATATGAGTGGTTTCAACGCTTGTTCATATAAACCTCCCCAGCCTATTATGCCATAAGCCAGAATAGATTGAAAAATACTATGATAGAAACTGATAATCAAATTCCGACTGACTATGTTTCTATGATGCCGACTTCATGAATGACATTGTTCAAAGAGCATCAATGAACAATGATTTCAGACTGAACCCCAACTTGTACGTGGAGGGCAAGGTGTGCGTGTCGCTGCTGGGCACCTGGATGGGGCGAGGCACGGAGGTGTGGGGCCCCAACAGCACGCTGCTGCAGCTCATCGTCTCCATACAGGGCCTCATCCTGGTGGCGGAGCCCTACTACAACGAGGCCGGGTACGAGAAGCAGAACGACACGCAGCAAGGTATGGAGGGGCTGGAGACATTTTTTTGTCACCCCCACTTATCTATTGTTTTTTCAGATTTGCAGTGGTTTTCAGTTTAGTAAAACCCAGTATTCAGATAACTCCGTTTAATAAAGTAATATCTAGTAGCGATGCTTTTATGAACATAACTTATTCTTGTATATTTTCCCGCCTAGTACATGACTTATAGTTGACTTATGACATTGATGACTTATGAAAGTGATGACGTATGGCAGTGATGCCAACATTATATTTCACATATAATTAAAGCTAAGTTCACACTCCAACATATTCTCAACATATTTTGGCAATGGGGGATTTCGCTCCAACTGGAATGCGATATATTTTCGTAATTTATTAATTAATCAACTATCTCAATGAATACGAGGCAGGCAGATAAGCAACAATTTTCTCTGCGATGAAAAACACTGTATATACCTAACCCATCTAGCGTCTACCTCCTTTGCAGAGAGGGTTTATAAACGCAAAGTTGGTACTCTCCCCTCGTAAGGGTACCTGTCGTGTTTCCATAGAGACATAAAGGTGAATATCTGTCTATCTGTTTGCTTGAGAATCTGGAAAAGAAATCAATATATCGCCTTCCGTACGAACATGGTGATCTGAATTTAAAGTATACTCTGGTCATTTCTCTTTGTGGCTCGATCCTCCGGTTCGGCTTGACTGAATGGCTTTCTCGGATTTTGTTTCAAGTATCAAACACTGTGCTTCTCGGATCTGCAACTCACATATCAAAATGTTCTTACCTCTCTAGTCCCTTTCAGATATACGTCGGTGAACCAAACACCCGATATACGAAATACCAGATGAAGAATTCAACACGGAGAGTGGTGGATTTTTTTTAGAAAATCTCCCAAAATATTATAAAAGAATTCACCGCAGGCTGAAAATATATCTTTTAGAAAAATCTCTCGTGATGTGAAAGAATAATTCAACCGGACAGTATGTAGTGGAGAAATCGAACGGTCCTCACATACTACATAGTCGAGAAACAATTCACCATAGTGACATACAGGCATACAATGTTTGTTTAAAAATGTCACATTTGAGAATATACAGGGTGGGGCAGTGGAAACGAAACAGCGGATCTTTAGGTCGACAGAACAGAAATCAAGGATCAATAGGTGTTGTTTTTACAAAAATATAGTACTTCAATGAACATGTTAAGCCGAGCGTCTTAGTCAGGAGTGGTATAGAAAACATGGCTTCACCTCGAGATCCAGTCAGGATTTTCATTCTCAAACATGCATAATGCTTTTCAATTCATACATTATATGGAGGTTAGAGTATTGCTGCATTATATGGCACCCTGAGATAGTGACATATTCTCATATGCTTGAGAGGATTCAAGAGAAATTCTTGAGGTCTATTCATTTGAAAAAGTATGGTGTTTATCCATTTGTATGTATTTTATGAATACCCAGAGAAATGATTTCGCCATTTGCATTGTGACGCGAAGTAAAAGGCTTGAGAAAATTAAAATTTTGTTTATTTTTGATATTCTACATAATCTGATTAATGTACCTGATATACTAATGAATATTCACATCAATGTACCTGATATAAGACTGAGATACAAAATATTTTTTATTTTTTTTTTTCAAAATATGTAACAGGAATCCTCCTATTGACAGCTGTTTTACTACTTTTGACAATTTCTTAACATCACGAGAAATTGATATCTGGACTATTTCTAGAACTTCACTTCTCTCTTACTTGTGATATACGATTTCTTCCACTTTTATGTGTAAATCATGTGTTCCTAAGGTCTTTTTTCTGCAACCGACACAAAAGTCGTCCATTTTGACACCAAAAGTAGCTCTTAAATTGACGTTTCTATTACTGACACAAAAATAGGTATGTTGCTAGGCAACATATTTAATATTTAGTTCCCAGGAGCTGAAGTTGAATTTTAGTTCCTAGGAGCTAAAGGTGAACTTTAGCTCCTAGGAACTAAAAAGAATATACTGGACGTCATCAAGAATAAACAACATTGTAACGGTTGGTTATTTGGGTTGAGACGCATACCTGATTTGTTTCCGATTTCAGCAGATTTGGCATTTCATACCCATCATGCTGGAGATATAAATACACCTTATTATAGTTTAGTATTGGAATTATAAACATCTCAGTTAAGTATTTTTGTTTTGATCAGGGAAGCCTTCAAGATTCAAATACTTGCTTGATCTGTATTTCATTCGTTATTCTCGGGATGGATAACTTGTTTTTAAATAATCACGGTAAGCAATAGTTTTTTTTGTCTCAAACAACAATATTGTATTCGATTATCAAGTCAAACACAGTGTAGTATGGAGAGGAATAAATAATCACTATTATCATTGTTGATATGCTCACTAACCTAACATTTTCCACGTCTTGTTCCTATAGCTGGCACTGGCGCGGTATTTGCCATTAGAGCACGTGGTCCATACACAAAAATGTCACTCTGTGGTTGTATTTACAATTCGAACATCCTAGAATACCTAACCTGCTGTTAATGCAGGTAGAATATTCTCACTACATGGATTATTTGTCAATATTTGTTGCATTGCATACATATGGCGCGGCATTGGTGGTTACTTCACATGTTTATTTGAGTTAATTGTTTCGGTTGCAAAAAAATGGCATGTTTCATTCGGATCAAAAGTGACACTTTGTTTGACAAGCGAATTTTGCATTTGCGAGGCGGAGCGTTTCAATCTACTATTAAATTGATAGTGTATAGGTTTAGTTTCAGTTTTGTCTGTATATAAAACTGATGGATGCTATTAGACATGTCGCCTTATCAAAAAAGATCCGCCAAATCGGACTTTTATCCACCAACTAATAACTCTGTGTTTTAGGCATCGAAAATGCCCGAACCTATAACGAGCTGGTGATCCTGAAGCTGGTGCAATCGATGAAGGAACTGTTGCGATCCCCGCCGGAAGTCTTCAAGGCGGAAATATACGCGCATTTCGCCCGAAACGGCCAAAAATTGTGCGACCGGCTGAACCGCTACTGCAACGAGACAGACCCTTCGACCCCGGATTTTGCCCTGCTGCCGGTCAGCAAAGGGCTCAAACTGTCCCTTACTTCGGCGTTGGCCGCTTTCAGGGAGGCGCTGACGAAAATTGGTGATAAGAGTGGAGATACGCCTAAAGAATCGATATGACTTTGGTGGCTTCGCTCTCGATCGTGAAACGTTTATTGCTCGAATTTTTTAACAAGCTTTTGGATTTTTCGAAATTGATTTATTTTTTAAATGTGTGCAGGAGTCACCCTGTACCAGTCTGACTAGTCTTCGAAATAGTCACTTCACTTGTTACTTCTTTGGGATTATTGTCTCAATAATTTGTATCTTGGAGTCGTAAGCAAAGATTTTTCTTTGTGTAAGTATTTATTTTTGTTATTTAAGCTTTTTGTTTTAGTGTTCATTGCGAGACTATCAAATTGATTCAACCTCATAATACTCACTTTATATTGAATTTTTGTACAACAAAATTCTTGAGTCAATATATTTTAGATTATATTTTAAACCTGTTGTACTGGAGATATTAATGAAAGTGATACATTGAGATAATGAAATTTATGTTTCTCAAATATATTTTGGAAAAGCTTTTTTCAAACTGGAGTATTATGAATATGCAATATAAAGCACAATATTTAGGATCCTATTATGAAAGTTATTGTTGAACTTTGAAAATTATTACCTAGTGATATACGATTTTCTAGAATTGAGTAAATGATGTTTGTTGATTATATTTATTGTTTGTTATTTTATTCCATAATACCTGATCAAAACCTAACCAACAATGAATTTTTAAGCAAACTTGCTATGCATAATGTGGATTTTGGGTATCAATTTGAAGGTGATAATAACAATAATGATAATGATGATAATAACCTTCATTAATCCCAAGAAACAATAGTAGTTGGGTGAGTAGTGAACAGAAAGAAGGAAAAACAAGACTTAATCAAATGATGTCAATACTGGGTTGATATTAGTTGTTTTTTATATGTTCATAAATCATTTCTTAGACTACATTCATGTTATGTTATCATAAAATGAAAAAATGATATAATAATTGGGATCATATAGAAAATTTCAAATACACTCATTTCCAAAAAAAGTGACGCACTTGATATTCCACCTATCTTCTTAAAAAAGAAGCAAAAAATAGTAGGCCGATTCTTGTTTCTTTTATTTTTTGGTAGGTAATGCATTTGTCATTAAAAAAATAAAGAGGTGAACATTTTTTCTAAGCCTCCTTGATGGTGGTGGAATAACTGGAACCATGATTTATTCTTGATTTTTGACTCACCCTGTGTGTTAATTGAGTGATGGTATACAAAGTGATTACACCCTATTCGAAAGAGGTTTATTTTGCAAGTATTTTGTTTTTTTATTCATTGATGTATCTCTAAAATTTTCCGAATTACAGCTTTTTTGCTGATACCTTACGCTTATCCCACAAATTAAATTTATTGAAGGATCAGAGTACTCAAAATTATTGATTGGGTGTTACTCTGGTAGGATCACATTGTCTTTAAAAATACAAATGCCGTTGCCATAGCAACTAATTTGTTGTATGCCTCCATATTTGACCATTTGTCGTTGTGTCATTAATTAAGTGTCTAGTTTCATTGACTAAAATTACATAAAATGCCTCAAATAAATCCTGAACAAGTAGCAAGATTAGTTGCGTTAGTAAACAATGGGCGTAGTAAACGTTACGCCGCTCGTGCAGTGGGAGTTCATGAAGCAACTGCTCGTAGAGCAATCCGCAAGTACGAACAAACAGGAAGCACCGCTCGGAGGGTCGGTTCTGGTCGCCCCCGAAAAACTTCTCCAAGAGATGATTGCTTTTTGAGATTGCGGATTTTACGGAATCGATCAAATACTGCGGTAAATGTTCAGCAAAATCTTCGCCAAATTCTTGATGTTGCAGTGATAGTAAGCAGAGACGGTATGTAGACGTCTAAAAGAAGTTAATTTAAAAGCTAGGAGACCTGCTAAAGGTCCAAAATTATTGCCCGAACATCGTGCTGCTAGAAGAACTTTTGTTGAAAATTATGGACAGGGGAAAATTCCTGAGTGGTCGAATGTCTTGTTTACGGATGAGTCAAGGTTTTGCCTCAAAACATGGTGGATGAAAGAAAAAGAGTGTGGAGAAGAACTGGGGTGAACGGTTTAATCAAAATATATGATAACAGAATGCCAAAGTTTGATTGGCGGGTCCGTTATGGTGTGGGGACGGATTTCAATGAATGGAAAGACACCCCTTCATGTTTTTCCGGTGAGGCAGTCGATGAATGCCCAAATTTACATTGACAGTATGTCTAACCTTATGCAGAGTTAGTGGGCAATAATTTTATATTGATGCAGGATAATGCCCGACCACACACCGCAGCAATATAGTGCGAAACTTCTTAGAAGCTACTGGTATTACCACATTACAATGGCCTGCGAGAAGCCCCGATATGAATCCTATAGAACATTTATGGGATGAATTAGGGAGAAGGGTTACGTCCTCGCGAGAGGTCTCCGGAAAGTCTCGCAGAAATGGCAGATGCATTAGTGGAAGAATGGGATCGTATACCAATGGAAACGATAAGCAACTTAATTTCCAGTATGCCTCATAGATTAGAAGTTCTTAGAGTTGCTAGAGGAGGCAATACATGGTATTAAGCAGTCATCCCAATTTATAATTTTGTGTTCAATAAAAATGTTTTTTCAAATTTTTGGTATCAGTTTATTTCATTAGAAAATTGTTTCCTTGTTTCCTGATAAATTCAGAAAGTTGGTAATCTGCAAGGATTCAGCAAAAAAAGCTGTAATTCGGAAAATTTCAGAGATAAATCAATGAATAAACAAACAAAATGCTAGCAAAAGCAGCCTCTTTCGTATAGGGTGTAAGCATTTTCTATGCCATTACTCAATTAATACACAGGATGATTAAAAAAATAAGAATAAATCATGGTTTGAGTTATTCCACTATCAAGGAGGCTTTGAAAAAATTTTCACCTCTTTATTTTTTTTCAAAGACAAATGCGTTACTTACCAACAATTAAAAAAAAATGAAAATCGGCCTAATATTTTTTTTTAAGAAGATAGGTCAAATATCAAGTGCATCTCTTTTTTTGGAACTGAGTGTAAAAAAGATGTTTTTTCACATTTTGTAATATAATTTTTTCTCTGGCTTTCATGTTGATTTATAAATCTTTTACCAATCTCATATTTGATGAATTAATTTAAGAAATCTTCCCCCTTCAGAATGGACTTAACCTTTTAGGTTATTATCCCAGGTTCAAAACTGTGACATTCTCTTCTTAAGGGTGAAGCTGCAAGTGAATGCATCTGATCCTGTGATCACCACTTCCTGATCTGAAGATCTTTATGATTTGAACATTTTCATAAAGAATGTAATTAAATGATACAAATAATTTATGGTAAATACCATCTGTAGGTATAAAATGGAAGTGATATTTACCAGTCTTTCAAAAATTATAGTGAAATTTCACATAACAATTGGTTTACTTGGGTAATATATGGGTAAGATTTACTAGTTTCCTGTTATAAACATGTTTCTGTGGAATAATAAATATTATTCCCAGGATGAATTTCAGCATTGAATTTATTCAGAATTCTATGGAGAAAAACAGGATAACATGTTTTCAGGCATCAATCCAGTTCACTGTGATATAACTAACTTCATCATTTACTAAGGAGGCCAGCACAGCTTTCTTTTTCACAGAAGTGCCTAGGCGCCCCATAGTGACAATTTCACTAGGAGAAATGTTTTTGGAATTGTCTACACATTTGATAATGAAAATTGCATGATGACACACAGGGTCACCATAATACACTAAATAATCGCCCCCAAACTTGCTTCCTTCAGTCACATAAAATCCTCTCTCCCATAAGTCGGAGAATACTTTCTGTTTTAACTTTGTAGTTCTTTCCAGAAGAGCTTCCTCTGTTAGAATTTGTAATTGTGAAATGTCTAAATCACTAGGAACACTCAATATTGGCCAAATCATATTGGCTTTGTTGATGGTGGTTGACTTTTCTAATTCTTCATTCAGTATTTCTTCCACACTACGATTGTCATCAAGTTTTCTTCGTTTCTCCACAATTTTATCTATCATATTCAACAACTGGGTTTTTCTGATTTTTCTGTACTCTTCAATTTGAGCTTGCAGTAATGTGTCTTCATATTCTCTTATTTTCGTTTCATCTACATCTCTAATAGTTTTTGGTAAAATCCTAATATCTGCTAGTTTTTTATGACACAATAGGTAGGCTTCCTCTGGTAATATTTTAAGAGGAAGAGAAGGAATATGGTTCGAGTTCCCAATTATTTGACCAACAATTCTATGCTGCTTTCTCAATATGACCCAATCATCAGCATCATATACAAACATTTCGCCATTTGAATAGAAAATAGTCAACATTTGTTCGTTATAATCGTTATATTTGCATAAATATAAAACATTATTTTGAGGAAAGTGAAGTCAAAAAGTGAGGTTATATTGTTGTTGCTTCTTGCGTGAGAGTTGGAGTTATTTTCTTCGTTCTTCTGTTTTTATTTCGATAATGTCAAAGTAAAACCGAAAATGATAAACCGCATCGATGTCTCTTCTTATATCGATTCAAAAACAGAAGAGGATTCAAAGGGATGTTGATATTTTAAAAAATATAGAGAAGAAGAAGAATAGATATTCAAATTCGAAATTTAATGACGCTCAGGGAAGGTTTTCCTAAATCGTAAATCATGTACGTTAGTGTTTCATTAATTATTGTGAATAGAGCTTATTCTAGGTGAGATACTTTTATAATCATTATTTTATAGTGGCATTGATATCTATTTTACGGGAATATGGAAAAGCCAGATGCAAAACTTCTGATCCAGTATTCTGTTTGACAATTGAAACAAAAATTGGTTTCCTCTGGGGAAAAATGATTCCATCTACTGACTGCATAAAAAGTAATAAAATGCGTTTGCTTCCTCATTTGAGGACACGGAAACCTCTAAATTCACTCCTATTGGAGGAAATAAAATATTACCTCCCGTGCATGCATGGAAGGTAAAAAATACAGTGGATTTAGCTTGCTTATTCCTTCCTAGATCTGTACTACCCAAGTACCTTTTATCGCAGTATCTCCATCACTACTATATAAAACAATAAAATAACAATTTCATTTTTGAACTCTAAAAAATGATATATCTCATACACTTCCGCACATTCCAAACTTACTCAATCGAAACTTTAAATAAAATTCAATCAAACAAATGAACGAATTCAATATGTGACTGAAGTTGCAAGTTGATTTTCGTTTAGATTCAAATACTGCGTCTGTAACCTTTTTAGATCATATATGTAACATTGATTTGGATCGATACTCGAGAGACAATTTCAGGAACGAACGCCCTCCCAAATATATATGCTTTTGTGGATAAATTCATGTATATATCTTGGGAGCAAAGGTTAATTTTCTCCCATGTCTATATAATGCCCTCCACCATACGCGTGGCGCATCAAACTTCACACCCGGGAGTAAATGAATACCTTTGCTTTCTTGATATATAAATAGCTATTATGACCCAGCACATATATATAACATACCTCTATTTACAGGGTGTCCGGAAAGGCCATGTCCTAAATGATAGGTAATATATAGGGCTGATAATGTAAGCCAAAATAATGTATCAGTACCTCTACCCTCGATCAGTACTTATACTTCTTAAAAAAAAATTCTATCGCACTTCGTCACGGAGTTGATGACCTTGAAAGTTTAAATGGAAACTATATATATAGTTATTTTTGTGTCTAGTACGCGAAATGCTACTTTGGTGATCGAGAACTGATAGTTTGCGCACGAGTTGCAAACAAAAATTTTTACTAAAGAAATATTCTCAGATTTATTAGGAATATAAAAAATGAATATTTATACAGGGTGTTAACAAATAAGTGTCACAACGGAAAACTGTAGATTCCTCATAATAAAGGAATCATTTCTGTTTTCAAGATAGGGCGTCAAAAATCAAAAGTGTTCAGTTCAATTAAACAAACTTCAAAACACTCAATAAACTCAACAATTTGAAAACCAGCATCGAGACTATAGCATACTCAAGAACCTGACATTTGATTGAACGTATATAATTAGACAGTTCTGAGGTGTTTATTTCCATTGGATTTTCAGACGATTTTTGGAGATACCATCAGGATTTTGTATGTTCTTATTCATAAAGAGCCATTTTTCGCGTAAACTGTTCACTTCAGAGCATTGTAACAGGAAGACGTTTTTTATGTGAAAGATATTGGCGCTTCAGGATCTACTTTGAAAATCACAATTTCTCCAGTGACATAAATGTTTGGGGGGTTAAACCCTTACGAGGCGTTGAATTCTCCTCCACTAACATGTCCAAGGAAATTGATCAAGAGCCCTAAGAGTAGTCATTATTGATGATGAAGTGTGTACGAAGGCTTCACTCCGTAGCTCAAACGGTTCCTGAGATAGTAGCAAAAACAGATTTTTTTGTATTTTTTTGACGCCCTGTATCTTGAAAACGGAAGCCCGGAGGAAAATTTCGATAGGGAAAAAAATGTTCCTTTTTTCAGAAGGAATCTACAGTTTTCCGTTGTGACACTTATTTGTTAGCATCCTGTTTATACAGGGTATCCCATAAGTCGAGGATCAAAAGAAGTGGGGTGGTAGTGGGGTCATTTCAAATCAAACCAACCGTATACATACAGGGTGTTTCAAAAAAACCTAACCCCCTTGATAGGTTAGGTAGAACACTGCAAAATAAGTTGGGTTTGCTCAGTGAAAAAATGTCGTAACGGCATCCGTTTTCATGATACAAGGTGTTGAAAAAATGATATTTTTACACATTTTTCACGATTATGTCGAAACAACTGGCAACATTGTGATGAAATTTTGTACGGATGTTTCTTGAAATCTGACACATCGCATGAATTTGTTTTTATATCTGACTCTCATAGAGGGCGCTAGTTATACGGTTCGTACCGAGTAGTTTAGAACATAACTTTTTTGAGGTTAGATTTCTCAATCCAAATATGATATGAATGATATATTGAACCTCATTCCATTTTACACCAAAGAGGAACTCTTGGTGAAACTCGATACTATGTTCCGTTTTCGGAATATTTCGATTTGAAAATATTGGAGTAGTATTGATGCTGGTATAAAATGAACTTTATTGAGTTCAATTACCTATTTATTCAGATTCAAAAACAATAAAATCATTCTTGTGCTGAAGTTATTGATGGAACAAAGAATCATAAGTAGAAAATTAAGAGATATTTGACTAGAAACATGAAATATTGAATCAGTTAGAGTAAGTGTTCAAAACGTCCTACGTTTCGACGAATACACGATACCATATTCTTTTCTTAAGAATGTATTATTCTTCTAAACAGTTGAGGATCAGCTGTTAGGTCATTTAAGTGATGTTCAATTATGTCTTACAAGTCTTGATGTGAATTTACCTATGTAGCTTAGACTTTCTGCTCAAGATACAACAAAACTGTGTAATCCATGTTCTTTGTCAAATTTGTTTCGATGTTATTCCTGTGATTCATTGTTAAATCAATAAGTTTAGCATCAGAAATGTATTGTTGTTTTCGGTTTTCAATAAATAGGTGATAATTTTTCATAATACTCGCTCTATTACATAGCTCTATACCAGCAACAGTTATCACTTCATCATTTTCAAATCGAAATGTTCCGAAAACGGAACACAGTATCGAGTTTTACAAAGAGTACCTTTTTGGTGTGATATTGAATGATGTTCAAGTTCACATCAAATTTGGATTGAAAAATCTAACCTCAAAAAAGTAATGTTCAAAATTACTCGGTGCGAACCGTGTAACTAGCGCCATCTATGAGAATCCGATATAAAAACAAATGCATGCTATGTGTCAGATTCCAAGAAACATCCATACAAAATGTCATCACAATGTTGCCAGTAGTTTCGACATAATCTTGAAAAATGTGTAAAAAATTCATTTTTTCAACACCTTGTATCTTGATATCGGATATGCCGTAACGAAATATTTTTACTGAGTAAACCCAACTCATTTTGCAGTATTCTACCTACCCTAGTAAGGGGATCAGGTTTTTTTGAAACACCCTGTATATTGTTATCCAATTGTTGATGGTTGAAAGTTTATTAATGTTTTTTCATTTCTATAAAAAGAGTTAATTACAATAAAATAATGTCACATTTGTGATTTTTTCTTTTACAAATTTCATCCACAAGGATGCACCTTTCACCAGAAATAATTTTATGACATATATTAGGTACTTCTTATCAGTTACCTGAGAAAAATGTTGTTTTCCTTGAGTTGTGTCATCGAATGAAATTTTTAAGTCGATTTTCAAATGCCGCTAGCAGATTTGAAAACCACCCCACGAAGATAACGAATCATATGAAAAAGTTGCCCATTTATTATAGATTCCGGAATGGTATAACACAGGGGCGGACTGGACCTTTGAATCGGCCCGGGCGAATTGAACCCTACCGGCCCTCCTCCGGAGAAAATGTCAACGCTTATATAGCTATTCATATAATTTCCTCACATATTTTAGTGACATAGACAAAAACGAAAAAAAAATTACAAATTATTTTGATTCCAATCAAACTTAAGCGAAAAAATTTGTCGATAATATATCAAATATCGAGTCAAATATACTGAAGGACAATGAAATGTATAACATGAATAACATTTTATAAATGAAAAATAAGAATAGATAGAATGAACGATAATTCTATGGTATAGAGGAACATAACTTAGTAAATAATATTGAAGCTACAGAAAGACTAGGAAGATTATTTATCCAAAATGAAACATAAGCCGCATTAGGAATCGAAATTAAAAAACGAGTGAACCTCTCATGGATCCACATTTTTCAACGAAATCGAAAATGATATCGTCGCTTCCTATTGATTGTAAAATCGTTATTTCGCAGCTCATCATCATGAAAGCCCCCAAAAATGTTCTTGGCTCAGATAATTTCTTAGCCTAATCAAGATGAATTTTAATTTTGAGAAAGATCTTTCACACCAAACCTGCGATACTGAAAGGGTGAGAATAATTTTATCTAAATATGGATAGATCTCGACGTATTAAATTGTATTTGTGCAAACCATGGAAGCAACAAAGTAAAAATGTTTTGCGAAACTTCTGTTTTCATGAAATCAATTCCTCTTCTACATCGAAAACATAAGTTCCACCACCCATCATATCTTCGGATAAAGTACTCGACAGTCTTCCCACTTCGAGGTGAAATCTATCAAGGCTTATTTCATCAGCAGGATAACAATTTTTGATATTTTCATAAATTATCCTTATCATTGAGTATTAGTGTAAATAATCAAGGTCCTTATTGAGTTTTCAGTCAATATTATTTGATCATCAGCATATCATCAGTGAATTTTGACGGATCAAATAGTTCAAAATCATGAAACAATTCTTTATGTTTCTTGAATCTAAATTCCAGTGCGGTGATAATAATT